TGTCCGTTTGACACATCTCTGGCATGGGGGAGTAGGTAGCGTACCATTTGGTTAACACCACTCACTTGGAAGGCCCAACACAGAAGATGTGCCAAGCAAGTCAGAGCCCAAAGGCGGCCTGGCTAAGCGTGCACCACTCTGAATGCTCCATAGTAAATAACCGTGATGCTGGTGATACCGCTGACAGAGTGGGATTGGGATCACTGCTGCCACGGCAACCTGCCTCTGTGTCCACCCAGAAGCTCTCAGGAGGTGTGGTGAGCACTTAGCCTTATGGGGGCGCCCAAACGCTGGGGTGCAATAAGGAAGCAGGGGGAGGCATGCATATGCATGGGGGGGGGGGGGGGGGAACTGTGGGGGCCAGCGAGACAAGCGCAGTCAGACATGCGGGAGACACTGGGACGAGCTGCCTCAGGGGGGCGCCGGTGAGCCTGTGCAGTGTTCGGCGCGGGATGCAGGTCAGGCTCACTTTCGAAATCAAGGAAAAAATTGGGCCCCTGTTCGAGGTCTGTGCAAGTCAAGACTTTCAGAAGGTTCCCCATGTTAGGACACCTGTCAAGAGAAGAAGAGACACAGAGAGAGAGAGGGAGAGAGAGAGAGAGAGAGAGAGAGAGAGAGCGTGAGCTCCAGCAGCAGGGGCATGTCAGGTAGGCCGCACAGGCCGGGGGTGCAGGGGTCGTCTCCGCGGCCCGATTGCCTGACACCCCCGGCTGAGCTCTGCTAAGCGGCCCCGCCCCCATGTGCCAGCTCCCTCCCCACCTCAGTGCCTCCCCCACACCCCGGCACTGTGGTTTTCCTGTGAGAGTTCACCGGATGTCTCCAACGTCTTCACCCAGGCCGCAACCCCCCGCCCCCCATGCGACCCTCTAAGCGGAATCCCGTTCCTTTTACAAGAAGCATGTCAGCCTATTTCTGCACTTCTCTCACAGGGCGGTTAGAGGAACTGGGGCCCCCAGCGGCTGCCAGACTCTGCTCACATACTCTATGGGGACACAGTGGAGGAGGCCCCTGCTCCGCATGCTGTGGCCCCACAGAGACGACCCCTGGAGACAGCAGGCCCCTTCGACTCACACGGGTCTCAGACCCAGCTCGGGAACCACGGAGGCTCTGGCCGGAATTAAGCCAACTCAGACTTCCAGTGAAGGAGAGTCCGCCGGGTTGTTATCTTCTTACATAAACACTGACGGCCTAGAAAACACATAAATCTAAGCTGTTATTTACATTTCCCTACATCCTGTCCGCTGACTGGCACAAAATTTTCCACCCTACAGACTTATCAGAGGGCCGCACACAACCGATTCAGTTAACGGAGGAGCTTTAGCACTGTGGTAACAAAGAGAAGCTCATTTCCACAGCAGGAGCCTCGGAGAGCCTCCTGGCAGGGCTGTGTTGGATGAGACCCCCACCAGCAGGGGGCGATCTGCCAGACTCATAGACCCACCAGCATCTCAGGCTTCTCAAATGCAGTACACTGAATGGATATAAAGTTATGTGCTTCTCCTCAACCTAAGCACCGATGTGCGCACCAGTGTGCTGCCAATCCTGCTGGTCTTACTTAGAGTCCAGGACCAGCATGAGTGACACCCTGACTGCGGTCATTCTGCCCGCAAAAGGGGCTGTTTTACACTCAGATAAGATGTTACACAGAATTTCACAAAAGCGAATCAGAAAATCTTTCAGAATACCCTGAAAACCTGGTATAATTGTAATTTTAAGTCCAACTATTTAAAAATAACCCTAAATGGAATATTAGAAATTCCCACCCAAAAATAAATCAGCCATTCTGCAACGGTGTTTACATTTCCTTAAATAATGAAATTTAAAGTTATATTTTTGTATCACTGGCCATTGGCTCACTTCTATAGAAACTCAGACTGAGAAAAGTGGGCCAGCAGGGCGGCGATCAGAGACAGGTCACCTGGGGGGGGGGGGGGCAGGCTTTCCACAGGCAGCTGGGGGCGCGGGTTAGTGAGGGTTAGTGTGCTGCGTTATGGCCAAAGCAGAGTGAAAGGTGAGCGGCGCGCAGGAAGCCGACTGCTTTGTCGAGGAGCCCCTGGACTTCCGTCACCGATGGACCAGGTCTAATGTACCCCCAGAACAGTGTCAGGGGGTGGGGACACTTACTTTCAAAATCCAGGAAAAAATTCCCAGCATTGTGGTCTATATCCCTGGTTAACACCTTAATCAGATTACCCATCCTGTGTACCTGTGAACATAAAGAGCGATTAGGTGTCTGACACACTGCAGGGGCGGATGGGGGGCATTTCTCTCAGGTTAAACCGGATAGCATAGTGGCTGTGGCACATTTCTTTGGAGTCTATCAGGATTCCCTGTAACCACACTGAGCTCACAGCAAGGACCCAGTTAAAGGGGGAGCATGTTTGACTGTGCATGAGCATGGTTGTGTCTGAGAGTCAGTGTGTCTGAATGTCAGTGCCTCAGTAGAACTCCTAAAATTGTCCTTGGAGAATCCAGTGGGTTCCATGAATCCTGTTATAGGTGTGTGTGTGGGGGGGGGACTAGATTCGATGTCCCCATGCACCTCCTGCACCCCCCCTCCACCCACCCACCCACCAACCATTCTTGCCCCCTCACTCCTCCCTCCACTCTTCATGACTCTGTACATCAGCTTGAATGCGGAGAGGCTAGGGCACCTCACTGCACCCCTCCCCCACCCCCCAGGCCCAGAGCACCTGACCTTCCCCTAATGAGCACAGGGTCACGTGTTTAATTAACATGGCACATGCCGGTGTCCTGCTTCTCAAAATACCATTGGGCTGGAATCGCGCCATGTGGGTGGGGTCTGGGGCGCTGGGAGCAGTTACTGCAGTGTATGTAGAACTGCTGATGGGGGGGAAACTGAACAGAAAGGAGAGCCCCCCCCCCCCACCCCCACCCCCCCCACCAGGAGCCAGGCATCCCAGCAGACGGGGACAGTCTCAGGCATACAGCCCCTCATTCGACTGCGGCCCGTCGCTGCTGTCCTCCTATTGGCTGAGAGGCTCCCCGCGCTCTGCTGTATCCATGGAACCAAAAAAAGCCAGCTCCACTGAAAATGAGGCGGCAGCCAATCAGAGCAGAGCCCGCGAGAAGCGGACACATGTCCATGGGAATGGGGCAAGCCGGGGGGGAGGGTGGGGGTGGGGGGGATATCTGAACGAGGGCAACCGGCCCAGAAGAGGTAAGCTGGTGACAGGGCACCCAGGGGAGGCTGCTCTAACACTCAGGGCTGCACACACAGGCTTCCACATCTGACATATCCCACTCTGAACCCCGGAGCCCCCCCCCCCCCCACATGAGCCTGACCATGGATGGATGGACATTTTATGCTGCGATTTTTTGCATAAAACAAACATGAAAAATCATTATTAAAAAAAAATAAAAACACAGCAGAAGGGCCAGACATGCTCTGTTTGAGGAAATGTCATAGTGAATATCAATGTTTAGTATCGGGGGGGGGGGTGATGATACACTGTTCCAAGCATCACCACTGTTATTGTTGTTAAATATACTATTGCTCCTGATCCCACCCAGCCAACGGGATGAAAGACACCCCCCCACTACACTCAGGCAGGGGGGAGAAGCGAGTTATGTGGACCAGGGGGGCGTTTGACTTGACCCAGATTCTGTGGCTGATGCATCGCAGTACACCAGGTCCGCCGGGCTCTCAGCAAGGGGTACGGGACAGCTGCCCCAACCAGACAGGCGGAAAACAAACCCCCCCCACCGGGGGCCTGTCATGTGAAGCCCCCACCCTCAATGGCAGCCCCCCACCCCTGTATCTGTCTACGAGGTATTTAGGGTCCAATATGAGAATGACTGACGATGCTGTGTGACTGCAGGGGGCGCCAGAGAGCCGCCATGCCATGCATGTGGCTCACACTAGCAATACTCATGCGCACGCCCTGCTCGGCACAGAGTGAGGAGGTAATTACACTCTTCATCTGCTCGGCACAGAGTGAGGAGGTAATTACACTCTTCATCTGCTCGGCACACACTGCCGTCCTGAGCGATTTCGCTTTCGGCTGTTCTCTTCAGCATGGCCTATTTTTCGAATGCTTTCCAGAACTGCCTGTTACAAACAGGTGGAGGCCATAGGTAAATAAGACCTAGGTAAATTATAGCTGCACAGCCCCCCCCCCCCCTTCTGCTGAAGAGGGGTATTGCGGGACACCACCTCTCCAGAGGTGGTCACGTAAGCAGGTGACCCCAGGGGGCACTCTGCAGATCCATCGCTGCGCTTCCTGTAGCCTGAATCCATCAATTTGATAAGAATAAGGGTTAAAGGGAATGCTGCCTCTTTGCCGGCTTTCTACCTCTCCACTGGAGGGCACTGTGGTGGAATTCAGCTACATGCCTCAACTGCTGAGAGGAATCATATATGCAGTTAGGCTAATTGACAGCTCTAAATCACCAGGGGTTTGAGTGTGTGTGTCCCTCAGCTCCCTCCAGTCACCTCCCTGCCCAAATCCCTATCCAGGAAAAGATGGTATATTAGAGTGTTAGCAAGGAACACAAAATACTGAGCATACCTGAATATGTGACTTTCTGTGCGATTTTTCACCATATACAGGTCGCCCGAAGCAGGTGCTGTTATCTGAAGCACACTTCAGCAGAAAGTAGCAAAAGCGGTTTGCTCTTGGAGAATCCATCGATAAGGCAGAGACAGAGTGCCCCCTTGTGGAGAAAAAACTGCACTGCAAGACAGCGAACACAACCTCCAACCCCCACCTCACGCTATTATCTGACCTGTTCCATATTTATTAGAGCCTTAGGGGATTTACAGAGTGGCACAGTAAGTTCACTAAGGGGCCACAGAAAGGGCGTGTTCTTCAACACACACTGTAGCTGGAAATGGCTTTGAGGCAAGGTCAACTACCAAGGTCAAAAGAGGGAGTCTGTGAAACGCTCAGCAGGACGTCCAGGAGCAGCAGCACCCTGACGGAGCAGCAGCACATCACTGCTGCTGAGCTGGGGGGTGTGGCTGCCTCAGGGCAGGGTCCGCTTCCCCACACTATTCCTGTTACTCCTGATCCTTATCAAAGCCTCCCTTTGTTATTCTTATTTACACATTAACAAGCATGACAATTATTTTCTTCCACTTAATATCCGCCGCATAGTTGGCACAGTGCATGTAACTCCCCCTGGTGGGCTCACGCAATCGTAGCTGAGAAATGTCTCCCCCCTGTGGCCAATATGTAAACTACAATAAGCTGTAGCAGTCTCCATCATGGAGCCCACGTTTGCGGCAATTAAAATTCAAAGCACACTGCTGTGCATCTAAAAGCTGACGTGACCAACACACTGTCCTCCTATAACCACCAGCAACTTCAACAGATCCTACAGTCATGTCAATTTTTGAGAATGACACACATATTGGTTTTCACAAAGTTTGCTGCTTCAGTGTTTGTAGATCTTTCTGTCATATGTTTCTGTGCTATACTGAAGTATAATTACAAACATTTAATAAGCGTCAAAGGCTTTTATTGACAGTTACATTGTTTATGCAAAGAGTCAATACTTGCAGTGTTGGCCCTTCTTTTTCAAGACCTCTGCAATTCGCCCTGGCGTGCTGTCAATCAACTTCTGGGCCAAATCCAGACTGATGGCACAAGTTCTCAATGGGATTAAGGTCTGGGGAGTTTCCTGGCCATGGACCAAAAATGTCAATGTTTTGTTCCCTGAGCCACTTAGTTATCACTTTTGCCTTATGGCACGGTGCTCCATCATACTGGAAAAGGCATCATTCGTCAACAGACTGTTCTAGGATGGTTGGGAGAAGTTGCTCTTGGAGGAGGTTTTGGTACCATTCTTTGTTCATGGCTGTGTTCTTAGGCAAATTGAGAGTGAGAAGCAACCCCACACATGAATGGTCTCAGGATGCTTTACTGTTGTCATGACACAGGACCGATGGCAGTGCTGACCTTTTCTTCTCCAGATGATCTTTTTTCCAGATGCCCCAAACAATCGGAAAGGGGATTCATCAGAGAAAATGACTTTACCCCAGTCCTCAGCAGTCCAATCCCAGTACCTTTTGCAGAATATCAGTCTGTCCCTGATGTTTTTCTCGGAGAGAAGTGGCTTCTTTGCTGCCCTTCTTGACACCAGGCCATCCTCCAAAATTCTTGGCTTCACTGTGCATGCAGATTCACTCACACCTGCCTGCTGCCCTTCCTGAGCGAGCTCTGCACTGGTGGTGCCCCAATCCCACAGTTGAAGTAATTTTAGGAGATGGTCCTGGTGCTTGCTGGACTTTCCTGGGCACCCTGATACGTTCTTCACAACAATTGAACCTCTCTCTTTGAAGCTCTTGATGATCTGATAAATGGTTAATTTAGGTGCAATCTTACTAGCAGCAATATCCTTGCCTGTGAAGCTCTTTTTGTGCAAAGCAGTGATGACTGCATGTGTTTCCTTGCAGGTAACCATGGTTAACAGAGAAAGAACAATGATTTCAAGCACCACCCTCCTTTTAGAGCATCCAGTCTGCTATTCTAACTCAATCAGCATGACACAGTGATCTCCAGCCTTGTCCTCATCAACACTCTCACCTGTGTTAACGAGAGAATCACTGAAATGATGTCAGCAGGCCCTTTTGTGGCAGGGCTGAAATGCAGTGAAATGAGTTTTTGGGATTCAGTTAATTTTCATGGCAGAGAGGGGCTTTGCAATGAATTCTGGAATTTATGCAAATTGCCATCATAAAAACTGAGGCAGCAGACTTTGTGGAAGTTAATATTTGTGTCTCTCTCAAAACTTCTGGCCACGACTGTAGTTACTTGCTTCTGCCTACTGATGCCAGTGCCACCACGTTCAGGGCCTTTCCGAACCGTTTAGGAGGAAATCGGGCACTGCCCTCTAAAGAGATGTTCTCATTTTAAACTGTGTGAAACCGAAAATTGAACAAATAAGCAGAACTGAAAGCGGCGTCGTCACAGCAGCGGTGAGGCTGAATCCTGCCAAAAGCTGACTGGTACCAGCGGCAGAAAGTGGGACATCCATTTGTTAAGTGCGGCCGAGTGCCACCACGATACACAAGCAACAAACTGGCAAAAAAATGGGAGCTCCGGCACCCAGACTGGGCAAGGCTGTCATACCCCTGCATAATAAACATGTGCTGAAGTTAATATCCCCACACAAGTCCTGCTGTTTTGGGAATACTGAATGGTGACCTCATATGGCAGTGAAGAAGAAATACAGCAGCCAATCGGTAGACAGCTTCAGGGGGAAAAAAAAAAACACAAAGCCGCCCAATCATGTTATACTTTACTATATATGCATATAACTCCCATTGGTGGGCTCACGCAAATGTATCTGATAATGATTACTGGGCCACAGGCAGGTGAAGTCAGATAAACCAATAAAATAGGATTATTAATGGCAGACTGGAGAGTCCCATTCCCAGAAGCCCCAGTTTTAAAGGCTCAGTCAGTCTTGGGGAAATATTCCCAGTCTGATAACGAAATGCGAGGGGAATATGAAACGGAGTAAATTGCAACGCACAGCAGATTGTCTTGAGTATCAGGAGGCAATCTCTGACTTAAAGTAAAAAGCTGCTTTAAAATGTTCTTTATTTATCAGTACAATGACTGCGTTTCCATCAGAAGCAGCATTTTCCATATGACGCCTGTAGATGGCAGCATTGTGCCAAATAATGAAATGGCCTATCAACCACTAGCCGGTGTGTGACAGGACCCCTGTGTCTACCCTGAGCAAATGCAGGTCCTGACACTGACCAAAAGCCACCACTGCAAAACACAAGTCAAGATGTAGGTAAACAAATGGGAGAGATCAGGAAAAGGCGGAGAGATGGGGGGCGCAAGCGGGCTGCGCTGCACCCTGGCGTGGACGGCCCAGTGACCTCACAAGTCAGGAATGACATATCAGTATGAAGATTAAAGCGCTCCCTTAATGCCAAACCACCACACTACCGATTTTCCCCCTAACTTCAGCCAGCTATCTGGACCAATCACAGACAGGCCAGACCAAGGGGCGGCGACCTTACCTCTTACCAGTGTCTCTTCCACTGTCTCTGGGCTCTCGAGCTACATGAGTTGTGGGAAGGATTGGAGAAAAGCAAAAAAAAAAAAAAAAAAAGCATTACTACTCTGTCATTCCACAAAGTCACAAAAACACAGACGTTTCTCACACAGAGCCAGATATGACCCTGCAAATGAAAGGTGAGTATACAGTCACTGCAGAGACACCAAGCACCTCCTGTACCTGTAATATGCTCTGCTTAGAGTTTTCAGCACAGCCAGAAATCCAGAACATGCCAGAACATGCATGTGCCTTCTAGGGCAATTACGGATTTTCCATAAAAATACCAGCTACTCACAGAGAACAGAAACATTCCGGCTGGTGATGGAGCAGAGAAGCAAACACTCATTTCTGTGTGCCGAGTCGGCACTGATCACACTGTGTGTGTGTGTGAGTGTGTGTGTGTGGGGTTCAGGTATACATTACATTGTGGGGACCAAATATCCTGTTATTTTGATGTTATGGGGACCATTTTTTTGGTCCCCACAAGGGAAAATTCAACTTTATAAAAATCTGTGACTGCAATCAAAAAACTAAAACTTTTTATTTGGTTACATGTATTTTATATGGTTAAGGTTAGGGCTGGGTTGGGGTTAAGGTTATCATGTTGGGATTAGGATTTTTTTTCCATAGAAATGAATGGAGAGTCCCCACAAAGATATAATTACAAACCTCTGTGTGTGTGTGTGTGTGTGTGTGTGTGTGTGTGTGTGTGTGTAAATTTTGAAACTCAAAATCACCGTACAGCAAGCAGCCTCTCAAACACCAGTGATCCACACAGAACAAAGATCTCCCTGATTTTTAATTTGAACAAAAATAATTTATATCTGTTTTTCACTTTTACTAAATTGAGGTTTGGAGGCAATTTTCACATCTGACCATACATAAGGCCATGCTCAGTGTTATACATGTATGCAGGCGTGTGCTAGCTGGCACAGCGTGTTTCAGGCGTGTTGAAAGGGGAGAAGTGGAGAGGCGGCGGATCAGAGACGGAGAGAGAGGCTTCCTCAAAACGGACTCTCGTCTGCCAACCCCAGGAACTAACCACCAACTAAGAACACCCACAGTAACTAACCCTAATCCAACAAAGAGGCAGTGATTGGTAACAGGGGGCATAGAGGAGAGTCCGACGTTTGGGGGGAGGGCAGGAGAGAGCTTACCAGAAGGTAGGATGTTCACGTCTCAGAGACGAGGTCCAGTCTGACCAGTCACTGGGGTCAAGCAGTGTCCACTGGATCTGGGTCTGTAAGCACAGGGATCAGAGGAGCATGAGGAACAGTGAGGTCCATCGGTGGAGCTTCAGCACCCCGCATCGGAAAGCTGACTTCCATCTGACCAAGATAAGCCCCGTAGGTAAACAAGCTCAGCACTCAAAGGCAAACCGATCAGTCCCACACCATTATCACAGCCTGACGACTAGATAAACCAACCGAATGCCTCGTTCCTACTGACTGTAACCGGTGTCCATCTGCTCAAGTGCGTGAGCCATCTCAGACTTATAAACAAGTACTACTGTGAAGGCCGTGTGTGTCACTGGGCCCCAGAACTGCGCTATTAGCCCTTGAAGCCAGATGACTCAAGGGATCATTGGAAGCTGAGCGACGGGGGCTGCAGCTCGGTCTAGACGCATGGGACCTCTCATCCATGCGAGGACAGAGCTGGAGCCCGAGTGACATTCGGAGCCTCATTGATGGGCATCTGCGTGCCCAAAATTAGCATCGCACGGCGCCCCTGGGGAAGTGGCCTTGTTAACCACACAGCGGCGTTTCCGTTCTTGTGGCTCGACTTTCAGACATGATTGGGTCCGGCAAGCCGGGGGGGGCGGGGGGGGGGGAGCCGAGCCACACGGGCCGAACAAAGCGGAGAGGAGAAGCGAAAGCAGCCGGCATTACTGTGGCGGCGCCAAACCGCGCCAGGCACAGGTCACATGACCACGCCGATTCTGCTCACAGCCCCGTAACGGGGAAGAGGAGGGAGGGGCCGCCTTCTGAGGTCACATGCATGTCACAGATGATCTGAAATCTCAACCTACAGTTCAGAACCGACTGAGGCACACGGCAAGTCAGTCTGACAGTGAAAACACTTCACCGGCACAGAGACGGAGCGACGGGTGAGACATGAACGCTGATGCCCGCGCCAGGACACGTGAAGTGGGAGGTGACTCTCCCCACTGAATTGCTCCTCATTGGTCGGCTGCCATACGGCCACAAACATTTCCTCCGTGGTCTCCACGGCAGGGGACACAAGGTCACACACACACACTATGTACTCAGCGTGTGCAGAACACAAAGGGCGCAAAGAACTGTGTTACCACAGGGGTGCCCCCCCCCCCAGGCCCACAATGCACCAGAACTCTATGAGTCAAGTGAGCTTTACTCTACTTCAGGATTGTTTCCATGTAGTTTTTTGTTGTCACTATACTCAGGCGAGGCAGGAGCCAAGCTTGGCACCAGGATGACAACTCCGCTGGACTACAAGGAGGTCAGAGCAGGGTATATGAGGAACTAGGGTTAGCTACTGGCAGGAACCTCCTAACCACTCCTGAAAGTCCTCCTGGGCTCAGTATTCAGGTTCAAACAGGCTTTTGGGTCCCAGCAACAAGGCAGATGAAGATGAAGACCATTCACAGAAGTCGTCAAAATAAGTGCAAGCTCACAGCGCAGACCGCTGCATCTTCAGCGTGTCGGAGCATGGTAACGGGCTGGGTGTCAACCTGCCAAACTGAAGGGCCCGCTCATCTCTACATCTGGAGTGAACGTCACCGAGAGGTGACAGCCGGGGCTGCGGCTGTCACTCGTCCAAAGCTGAGCTCTTTTTTGACTTTTCACCCCCGAGTCCCCGTCCAGGCAGCGCTGGCAGCTTCCACACATCGCATCTGGGTCTGTCACCAAGACGAGCATCATCCGACAGGCGGCCCGACAAGGCGACAGTGACAGACAGCAAAGCCGACAGTGCCAGACACGGCTGGGCACACGCGCACGCGCGCATGCACACACACACACACACACACACACACACACACACACACACACATGTACGGTAAACATATCCTTATGGGGACCGCTCATTCATTTCAATGGGAAAAATGCTAACGCTAACTATGACAACCTTAACCACCACCCTGCCCTAACCATAACCATAAGTAACCTAACAAAATACAAGAGTTTTTGCATTTTTAGTTTTTTCATAGCAGTCACCAATTTTTAAGAAATAGAGTTTTCACGTTATGGGGACATTATGTCCCCATAAGGATAGGTAAACCCGCTCGCGCACACACACACACACACACACACACACACACACATTTGTACTACATCCACTCACATGGACAACGACAATCAGATTAAAGAAGCAGATCTGACTTAAGGCCCTGTGACCCTGTATTGGCTTGAGTTGGATGAGTTTACATACGAAATAACAGAGGCTGACATGTACGTCTACTAACATGTATGTAATTCCAAGTGCTTATCCAGGCTACATGCCTCAGATCCAGGCTACATGCCTCAGATCCAGGCTACATGCCTCAGATCCAGGCTACATGCCTCAGATCCAGGCACTCCGTTTCTGTTCAGTCCGAGCTTCACACATTTCTGGTTTTTCTGCAGCTCCGGCTGAGAAGGCAAAGCCCGCTGTCCCCATGAACGCGACACAAACCAGGCAAACAGAAGCAGCTCTGGGCAGGAGGTCAGGAAAGCAGACGGGTGTGAGGGGACGAGGGGGCGAGGGGACTTGTCTACGGGAAGTGACCCAAGAAAGGGCAGATGGCGGGAGAAAGGACGAGTTCTCCTGGGGGGGAAGGGTACGTCTGGGGACATCAGGCATCGAAAGAGATTCTCGTTCTTCTTAACCGAAATGGATAACAGCACACAGATCGAAATGTGGAAGCAGATAATCCCCTTTCAGCATAGATAACGTCCAAAAGCAGCCAGTATGGCATATGTTACCCCCGGGGTGGGGGTCATTTACTAGAACGAGCTCTCCAGCTGTTGCGTCACTTGGGGGTCCATTATAAAGCCTCTTGCACTGCAACGTGACCAAACCAGTCTGGTAAATGACATGGGGGTGGGGCATTTAGAACAGTCAGATACACTTCAGGACAGAAGCAACAAAATCTAGCAAAGGAGCTACTGTGAGTCCACCTTCAGCAGGATCAGGCTCACCAATGACTGAGGTACCACCCCCCCAGATTTCCTCCACCAATCAGAATCACAGGGCTCATGACAGACTACCAATAAGCTTTTTATTGATATTTTATTTTCTCTAATGATATACACTGCTTTTATATAATTAGTTTATCATTTAAAGTGTTCTCTTGAGCGGGAGTGAGCAGTCAATCTTGCAAACTTCCACACAACTGATGACTTAAACCCAAACTCAAATCCTGAGGTCACAATAACATCATTTTTAAATCCCTAAAACAGACAAAGGCAATCGCTTGCGTCAGGCCAGCCTATCAGCTCAGAGCACTGCGCATCCAGCAAACTCCAGTGGGCTTTCATTTGTCACTGAAGTGGATTTCTTTGCTGCTATCTGCAAACATTCTCTGTTCCCCCATACCGAGGCGCTGGCCGACCAGCTGAAGATAAACAGATGGTCTTTTGAAGTTTATCAGCAAGCTGCCGGGCCGAACATCTGACAGCAATGCTGCTGCAGGGTCTCCTCAAAGGAGGAGAATGAACGCCAACAGCCGAAAAAGCCTCCAGCCTAATATCCCATCATCAGTTCGCTAAACTGAAAGCCACTGATGACGGATGAGAAGCAAATTACCCCAAACATCAAGCCAACCCAGAATCATCATGCGGGCCTTTTAAAGCGGGCTGTCCTTCACGGTTCATGGTGTTCATCTGACTAAGAGGCACCTCTAATCCCAGAGTGCGGGAAGTTAGACACACTCAACACGGCGGCATCACTTTACGGCTGTTTGAGGGTCTTCCAGGGTCACATTGACCCGGTCGGGCAGATAACCTGGTAACGGTGCAGGCGTGAGACAGGAAAGACCATCAGCATAGCAGGAAGTGTTTTAGGTGAAGCCCTGTGGTCTGGTGCGTCCTCAGGCTGCAGGCTGAGACCCGCCCGATTTCACTTCCTTTAAACAGCGCAGACAGCGAACCGAAGCGGCCCAGAACAGGAGCCGCCCAAAACTGCGTCGTGCGGTACGTGGCACCAAAGACAGGAAGGGGGGAGCATTTTAGCACCAGAGACAGGATGGGGCTTTGGGATCTCAGGTGACGAAGGGGACACCGGACCTTTAAAGGCGAAGAGCCTGTTACACTCCTCTTAAAGGCACCTGCTCAAAATCAAAAAAAAAAAAAAACATGCTCTGAATGGATGAATGTTACATTTATATGGCACTTTTCAAGACACCCAAAGCACTGAACCAATGGGGAGCCCCTTTGACCAGCACCACTGTGTAGCCCCCTCCTGGATGATGTGACAGCAGCCATTCTGCACCAGTACGCTCACCACACAGTAGCTAAGGTGGTGAAGGGGCAGGAGAGAATTCACCAGTTAGATACTGGTGATGATTAGGAGACCAGATTTGAAAGGGCCACAGTGGGCAGTTTCAGGCAGGACATGAGGGTACCACCCCTACTCTTTCGAAGGATGTCCAGGGAACTTTCATGATGTCAGAGAGTCAGGACCTCGATTTTATGTCTCCTCTGATGGATGCTCTGGCCCGTTCTGGCCCGTTCTGGCCCGTTCTGGCCCGTTCTGGCCCG